CCCTCTTAAGACGTGGACTTTCTCTTCTCCCATCCATCACTAAATTCCCTTGTGGTAGATGCTGTAAATAAACGTGGCAGACAGCACCATGCTAAATCAACACCCTATCACAAGGACTGGAAAAGAATGAACTTATTTGGCAGGAAATCGTACTCATCAGCAACCCTACAGTTTAGGATTGCTAATTATCAGGCCTTGATGGTGAAATATAACCACATCAATTATTCGAAATTCAGCACCTTTACTGAACATCTCCCAAATGATCAAAGAGTGCAGTTCCAACTCATCATTGTTGAGGGCCAGTTTCTGGCAAGTACATCATTACAGACTTCACTAGACACTGCTGATACAGCTTCTCAGGAGAGCTATGTGACTTCACCTTTCCAGCCTCCCAAGAGGAGTCCAAATGACTGAGGAGGACCTTCCATTCAAAAGATCCAAACTCTTCATGGAAAAAACAGATGATTCCCTCCATGCACTAAACTACTCGAGCCATTTTGCATTCCCTGAGGATCTACAGACCTGCACAGAAAAGGAGGTACAGCAAATCTCAGACATCACAAAGATCCTGACCTGCCCAGTTCCGTCCACCCCAGAGAAACTATGAACCTCAGTGGAAGAGACAACGGATACAAAAATAAAGGGCGACAGCGCCCCAAACCTCAACTGCACAGCCTTCAATGTTGAAATATCAATTTTGATACATAGCCTGAGGCCCCTAGCCACCATCAGTTGCTGCAAAATTCATGTTATTGCCATCGTTTTAGACACCGCCTTGTTCTTTTGACAAAATGGGGAAAAGATAATGTCAGATAAGTGGAAATAATCTCCAATGGTTATTCAGTCCACTTTCCCTCCCTCCCTCCTAACCATCCTCTTTCTCTCTCTCTGTCCCTCTTCAAGGACCCCTCTCACGAGTGTCTGTTACATCAGGAAATATACCATGTTAAACCTCAGTGCTATAGAACAAGTTCCCAATCAGCACAGAGGGAAAGTATACTCCAAATACTTCCTGATACTGAAAAAGAATAAAGGATGGAGACCCATTCTGGAGCTGAGATTGCTCAACAAATATGTAAAGGCACAAAGATTCAAGATGGTTAAATTAGCAACAATAATTTCATATCTGGACTAGGGAGACTGGTTCTCGGCCCTTGACCTACAAGATGCTTATTTTCATATCAAGATCCAACCATTCCACAGAAAGTTCCTGAGATTCAGCCTAGGTCAAGACCATTTTCAATACAGGGTACTTCCATTAAGCCTATTGTCTGCATCCAGAGCATTCTTGAAGGTCCTATCTGTGGTAGCGGCATGTCTTTGCAAATTAGGAATCATGATATATCTGTATCTAGATGACTGCCTACTCAAGGTACAACTGTTTGATGCCCTATCAGCCATGCAATTCTCTATATATGGTGTGGATGTGACTCACATAACACACACACTACCTGTATGGTCCTGAGGATGTCACATGAGGCCACAGCTGTGTGCTGATTGGACCGCAGGTTGAGAACCACTGCTATAGATTATTTATGGAGTTGGAACTACAACTGAACACTCAAAAATTGACTCTAACTCCAGTGCAACATCTAGAATTCATAGGAGCCTATCTAGATGCAGTAAAGGCCAAAGCCTTCCTCCCACTCACAGGTTCAATATGCTAACAATCTTAATTGACACCATCCATATCAGCCCCCAAACCTTGGCCAGGAATTGCCTTCAACTACTGGGGTACATGGCAGCAGGCACCTTGTAATAACTCGTGCAAGGCTCCACCTGTGTTGCCTTCAGGCATGGCTCAAAACGGTATATGCACCAAACAGACAGATTGACCAAACCACTGTTAATGTCCTTCATAATCAAAGACTCTCTCAAATGGTGGAAGTCTTCCCTTCTATTTGTGAGCTCTTAATAAGAGGCTCTGCAATAGAGAAGGAACTGAGGGTGGTTAACTTGTGCAGCACTGGATAGCCTTGAGGCAAGGCATGAGACAGGGAGAGCACATGTGCAGGCCGAATGGACACCTCTACCTGAAATCTCCAATCTGAGGCGCAAGGACACAGATACATCTACAGTGGAGCACCCATAGGGGGACACATATCTCAAAGAACCACAGTTACTGCACAAGGTGAATAACCCCTTCTCGCACAATCGAGCTCATCCTTCTCCCATTCAAATACCTTCTTTGTCCACCAATAAGCAGCAAGTGTGGTGGTCATATTAAAAGCCCATACTGATCTTAATCCTAGGTCCCTACCCTTCTCACCCATCTTTAGCAACTGTCTGTCTGTCCATCCTCCTTCCAAGCATTCACTGGAATTGTTTTGAACTAGTGGGTCTTGTAGTCACCAGAGATTATTCTATTCAATTATGGTCGGTGCCAAGCTTCTACCCTGCCTCCTCTTCAGGGAGCCTCCTCTCTCAACATTTATTGAGGGAGCAACTTTAAATAGAAAAGCTGAGATTCTGGAGCAGAAATTGGTGGCTGGGGGGTGACTGGGGAGATGGGTATCCCTGTATATGCCCCAATTTGATCCCTAATTTACACTAAAAAATGAGGAGTGGCAATTGAAATTCCTTATAGCCATTTGTTTACAAAGATCTCTGGGAGTACTTTTTTAAAAAAGGAAATTATTTTTTTATCATTGACAGGTGGGAAACTTATGTTGCTTGTAAGGAGTGAATGTGGGGATTAAACTATTATTGCTTTGTTGGCAAAAATGTTCAGTGTGTCAGCTAGATTGCATACAACTTTGATTTAACATACTGCCTATCATGTAGTTTAAAGACTTCCATTAGCTTGATTACTGGTTAACTTTCTGCCACTTCAAGACATAGTGCAACACTGGCAAATTAGTCCTCCTATCTTTTGGCCAAAAACAATTGTATATTAGGAATGACTCAGATTGCTGAAGTAACCTATTTGTTTATTTTAAAAAAATTAGTTTCTTTTAGCAACTTATAGTTAACAAAATCCGTTTTAATTAAATCATATTCTGAGCATCTTTAACAACTAGGCTGCAGCTATTTGGTCATGCGTTATTTAAATAAAAAATCCTAACCCAAGATCTTGAATAGCATCCTGATTAGGCAAGAGGTCAGACTTTAAAAATATGTTTAATCCATCATGATATTCCTATTTAGCATCAACAATTATTTCTCATGCTAGGAATCATTATATAATCTCTGGATAGACTTCATATTGAGTAGGTATTTGACTGGAGAATGCAAATTGTTATATTATTAAATGGAATTGCCTAAATCGATTGAAATGACAAGATTCTGTGGAATTGCTTTCCTCATATATGCTATTCTCTGCTCCCATATTGGTTGTGGGTGCCTGATTTGTACAATGATTGTACTGTTATTTCTCAGGTAATATAGTATGTAAATCTCTGTACTGCTATAATTAACCAATCAGAGTTCAAGTGCAGGGATTTGCATAATCAGTGTATGGTTATTTCTCAATAACTACTGGAAATATGAAAATCTTTTTTTAAGTAAATGCTGCAATCCTTCTACTAATGTCCATTATTCAGAATTTTTAACAGGTTGTGAGCAACAAAAATGCTGATTAAGAGTCTAAATTAGCACAAAGGGGTACAGGGAAAATGATGGCGCATCTCTTGAGACAGTTTGTGTTACCTGTTTGCAGTGAATGAAGTAAATGCTACATGACATTCAGCACAGGGTTACAAAATTAGCTCAGCAGTTCCTATGCACTCTACTGCATATTTATGTGCATAGAAAAAGTGAGCAGGATTTTTCAGTAAAGTACAAGGTGTGGCAGCCTGTATGGCCACAGCTCTGCATTGCATACCAGGAAAAAGAAGTATACAGCAAGAGAGTGGGACAATAGTTAGCCTGTAACTCTGGCTCTGAGGATACAGTATTTGCAGACCTAGTACCTGCCAAGATCTTTGGTTAGGGAGTGGTCAGTAAGGACTAGAGCTGGGTGAATAATTTATTTTTCAGTTTGCTAGTAATTAAAAAAAAAAAGCGGGGGTGGGTAGGTGGGCTTGGTTTGGGTCAAATCCAAAAATTGTGAAACATTTTGGCAGATCGATTAAAATCTATTTCAGGTGAAAGAAACATGTAGTTTGACCCAAAATATTTTGTTTCAGGCATTTTAAAAGGGATGAATTCACAAAAAGAGAGGGGGAAAGGAGATGGGTGTTGTATAATGGAAGATGTAGTCCAGCTGAGGAACTCATCCCATAGAGGAAGTTAAGGTTCAAATAATAATGTTAACAACAAGAACAGGTGTACTTGTGGCACCTTACAGACTAACAAATTTATTTGAGCATAAGCTTTCGTGGGCTACAGCCCACTTCATCAGATGCATAGAATGGAACACACAGAAAGAAGATATTTATACATACAGAGAACATGAAAAGGTGGAAGTAGCCATACCAACTGTAAGAGGCCAATCAATTGAGATGAGCTATCATGAGCAGGAGAAAAAAAAAACCTTTGAAGTGATAATCGAGATGACCCATAGAAGGTGTGAGGATACTTAACATGGGGAAATAGATTCAATTAGTGTAATGACCCAACCATTCCCAGTCTCTGTTTAAACCTAAGTTAATTGTATCTAATTTGCATATTAATTCAAGTTCAGCAGTCTCTCTTTGGAGTCTGTTTTTGAAGTTTTTTTGTTGCAAAATTGACACCTTCAAGTCTGTCACTGAGTGGTTAGAGAGGTTGAAGTGTTCTCCCACTGGTTTTTGAATATTATGATTCCTGATGTCAGATTTGTGTCCATTTATTCTTTTGCATAGAGACTGTCTGGTTTGGCCAATGTATATGGCAGAGGGGCATTGCTGGCACATGATGGCAGAACCAGAGTAATGAAGAGTACAATACTTTGTGTCTCTTGGCTCTAGTATATTTCTCTCTCACTCACTCTCAAATATGCATGCACTACATTGTTTGCAAAATTCACAGGACTTTGGCAAAATAAACACTATTTTTATACCATATGTTTTATCTATCAGTTCTGGAGCTTGTGTGGCAATTCGTTGACACCAAAGCGTGGTGTTTTTGGCAAGACTGGTGATCTCCAAACTATACTTTGCCTAGCCTGTGCAAGAGATGAAGTGACACATTCTGGTGCACTTAATGGAGATATATATGTATGGAAAGGAATTAATCTCATACGGACAATACAAGGAGCACATGCTGTAAGTATATTTATGTTATAATAATTCAGATTGTTTGAACAATGCACAGCTTTGGAAATTGATTAGTGTGTAATTAATAGCTCAAAGAAGCTTTTTGAAATATCATTGTTGAGATTATTTTTATTTTAAACCAAAATGTTTAAATCTAAATCTGAAGAGGTTATTTTTTTTCTTTACATAATTTTTCTGTATCCTTCCCATATCACTCTAAACCGTATGCTTATGTGGAGGAGACAAGTGGAGAAAAAAATCAATAATCCTGAATCCAATTTCTACATGCAGAGCTGTGTCTCTCTTTTTTCCTCCAGGTGTTGTAACTAGTGTATGTGACAATACAAGACAAGGTTCAACATTTTAAGATTTCTCATCTACTATTCACAAATAAAGCCACTAATTTTTCCGACATTTTTAATCTAAGAGAAATTTCCTTCGTCACACTATTAGGAGTATATCAGGTTGACTTTCTAAAACAATTCTTTATGTTTGAAGGTGGATTTTAATTATGGACAATGGTGTACCTTACAGATAATGTTAAAACTCAGTGTGTTATGAACAAATTGAACCAATGAAACACAGAATGGGAAGAGAAGAAAATTAATTTTCTTACTGCAGTGGAGTGGCCCAGCTCTACAATAGTTAAGCTTAAGACCAGATTTCTGTTTAAAGCTTGACTGTCATAAGTACTCCAAAATCTGCACAGTTACTGGGATTGCTTTCAAATTTTGTCCCTTGTGTGGGGTTTGGCCAGTGATCCAAATTTGGCTATTGATTCCTGAGATACAACCCTATGGGGGGGAAAAAGCTTTTCTTAATGTTAACATATTCTGGTAGTGAATTTTTGCTCCCAGACAGAGATCAAACTAGGACAGAGGTCATCGCATAAGTATCTCAAATGCTTGAGAGTTACCCAAATGGAGTACATGCACCCACTAGCCCTGTGGGGAAAATCAAATTAAAACATTATTAGTCAAAGACTTCTCTTGCAGTGTGGAAGATGCATTACACTGAGTATATGCAGAGAAAGAGGTTATCTGGAAAACTACCTCTACATCATAGGACCTTGTGACTCTGATGTTATGTAATGGTCATTGAATCTGAGCACCACCCCGGCACTATGAATTCAAATCCAGTCCAGGGCAGAAAGCTGAAATAAAAAAGGAGGCATCTTGTTCCGGTTTGCCTCTGTCAAAGGTTTTTTTTTTTTAAATTGTGGGAAAATGTAATCTGAATACATCATAGGGCACTTAAACTATTTATTGAAAAGAAAATAAATTACACAAGCAAATGTTTGCTGGGAGGAGAGGGTGATATTGCATTAATTTAGATGGAATATAGGTGCCCAAAGATGTTAACATAACCCAGTTGCTGTCCAATGTTAAACAGTGTTAAGCAAGGTTCAGGGTTTGGTATACAGAGACCTTAGCCTGCTTAGTACTATGGCGAATACCATTAAAAACCTTTTAAACCTTTTATTAAAAGGTACTAAAAAGGTAAAACAGTTAAAGCATTTGAAATGTTGTTAAAATGAAAGCCTTACTTTACATTTCTTGTTCCCTTTCCCTTTAGTTGGAGAGAGGTTTGAAAGGAAAAAATAACCATTGTTTAACAGTGTTCGATGGTAATAACTTTGCTTTTGGGGTAAAGAGAAGAAGTTAGTTGAGATTGGCTAGAGCTGTTATGGCTGCTTCTGTTACAGTTCGATCCTGTTTCATCTTGAGTGGTATTTGGGATGCAGCTGAGGCGGTAGAAGTGATGATGTCATCTGGCTTCCCGTCTGTTCTGGTCAGGACATTCCTCAGGATCAGGACGAAGAAGGTCTGGTCCCAGGAGACAGTGGGGGTGGCAGTCATGATGGTGAAGCTTGCTCCAATAGCTTTCGTTTGTTCGTCTTTCCCCTCTGAAGGCTCTTTCTTTAAGGATCCAAAAAAAGGACTGATGGGTGAAATAGCCCATCCCCTCATTAATTTGTCCACCAATTAGGCCTAATATCCAACACATCAATTTTGGTTAATTTCCAGTTCCACATCTTCTGTTTTTACCAAGTTCGATTTAAACATTTTCCTTGAGTTATATCAGTAGGCCTTTCTGTTTGGACTTATTTTGATTTTTTTGTAGCTGTCAATCAATATTTGTTGTCATAGGTTATTGTGCTATCTTATGAACATACACTCACTTTTTACAGTAGAATTTACAATTAGGGTAAATTTGTAGACCAAATTATCACAACACTGATTGGGATGGAGGAGTAGGGGAGAGGAGTTTGGGGCATGTGCCAAGAATACACTGCTGACACTGGGATAAGGAATTGAGAAAGGGCATGCTTAATGCATATCATAGCCTCTGCAGCACTGGGTATGGGGGATGAGTGCACCCACTGACATGAATTGAGCAGTTCACACGTATCAAAGCTATTGTTTCAGGTTATATTTATCTCCATCGGGTATTCTTTCAGCTGAGAACATCTCATTGAAGTGGATGGGTCACTTAACACCTTTCCGAATTAATAAATTATTAAAGGAGGGTAATGTAATTAATGTAAAATCAACTTGAGTTTTTGGAAAATAGATCCTGTCAAACTAACTTGATATCTTTTTTTAATGAGACTACAAGCTTCTGTATGGCATTTGACTTGGGACCTCATGACATTTTGATTAACAAAATTAGAATGATGTAAAATTAACATGACATATTAAATGGATTAAAAACTGGCTAAGTGATAGGTCTCAAAATGTAATAATAAGTGGGAATCATCATGAAGCAGGTGTGTTTCTAGTGAGATACCGCAGGGATTACTTGTTGGCCCTGTGCTATTTAGCATTTTTGTCAATGATCTGGAAGAAAACCCTAAAATCATCACTGATAAAGTTTGCAGACAACACAAAAATTGGGGGAGTGGTAAATAATAAAGAGGGCAGGTCACTGATTTAGAGTGATCTGGATTGCTTGGTAAACTGGGCACAAGCAAACAATGTGTTTTTAATATGGCCAGAAGTAAATGAATACATCTAGGAACAAAAAATGTAGGCCATACTTATAGGATGGGGGATTCTATCTTGGGAAGCAGCAACTCTGAAAAAGATTTGGGAGTCATTCTGGATAATCAACTGAACATGAGTTCCTAATGTGATGCTGAGGGCAAAAGAGCTGATGCAATCTTGGATGTATAAATAGGGGAATCTCAAGTAGAAGAGAGGAGGTTATTTTACCTCTTTATTTGGCACTGGTGCAACCGCATGTTTTCTAATGTATGTATATGGAGAACAAATATTTAATGGTAGGCTCTTCAGTCTAGCAGAGAAAGGTACAACATGATCCAATGGCTGGAAGTTGAAGTCAGGCAAATTCAAACAGGAAATAAGGCATAAATTTTGTCAGTGAGGGTAATTAACCAGTGGGACAATTTACTAAGGGTGGTGGTGGATCACTGACCATTTTAAAATCAAGATTTGGATTTTTTTTTCAGTTTTGACAATTAATATTGATTGATTAATCCTCCTACTTGCAGTCCTGGCCCAAGGATCTCTGCTCTGCCCTGCCAGGACCACAGCCTTCCCCGCACCTTACCTCTGCAGGGATCAAGTGTCACTGGCCCTGCAGCCCTGCAGGTAGCCCTCTGCAGGCCTGCTATCATGACCCCATTCTCACACCTGTGACAGCAGGGTTGCAGAGGGTTTCCTGTGCTGGCACAGGGCTGGTGACACCTGATCCTTGCAGGCGCCAGGTGTGGGGAAGGGTGTTGTCCTTGTGGGGTGGAGCTAGTGAGGGAGCAAGACCCATGGCAGCAGGACCACAGAAAACTCTCTGTCCTGCGAGAGAGCTAATGACACCCAATCGCGGCAGGTGCAGGGGGGAGGCTGCACTCACGCTAACTGTTTCCTGTGGATTTTTTTCATGTGTTTTTTTTTTTGGGGTTTCAAAATAAAAAAAAAGTTTACTGAAAATTAACCAAAAAAAAAAAAAAAAAAATCCTGCCAAGCCTAACTATATAAAAGCTAGGTATTTTGATTACCTAGCCACAGTAGCATATCAGCTACAAACCTAGGTGAGAACTAAAAGTGCCTAAATGGCCACTATAACTCTACCAACAAACATTTCTTGTTCTGTTTTGAAAAGATAGGAAATTAATTGGCAAAAAAAACTAAGTTAACACAGAGTTAAGGTTGCCTGGTGACCACTCATGACCTTCCAAAACATAAAGTTCAACAAAACTCGAACATCTGACAACCAGGAAATATAGAGTTAAGGTAAATGCCCATGTAATCTTAACTCTGCCTTCTGTGAGAGGTGCCCCAAACCATCTATAATGCAGATACTTGCACTCTGCCTTTCACTGTAATGGACAGGCGTTTCTTGCGCCTGCACTATGCTCAAACGCTGATCCTACTCCTCTGACAGAATATTCCACTTTTTACAACCCCTTCACACTTGCACCCAGGATGCCACCTTTTCCCTACCAGTCATTAAATCCCCCCATCTACTGACTCCAATGTTCAATACAGCTGCACCTAAAACACTGAAAGCAGCTGGAGTATATGCAGATAATTCCCAGTGTCTCTTGCCAGCTGTAGGGTGCGGGGGCAGAGCTAAGGTTGCATGGGCATTTACGTTAACTTTGTATTTCCTGGTTTTGCTGAACTTGATTTTTTGGAAGGGCATGAACTGTCTGTCACCAGGCAACTTTAACTCTGCATTAACTAAGTTTTTTTTTCCATTTAATATACCAATACCTGGAGTCTGGGTAACATGCAAGAAGAATTGGAAAGTCTCACTGATGAAAAGAAATTTGATATAGTTGGCGTTACTGAAACTTGGTGGAACGATTTGCATGACTGGAATGTTAAAATAACTGTAGTCATGCTGTTTCTTTCACTGTTCCACTGTTGCCATACGAAAGAAGATGATTTAACATGGCAAACAGAGGACAGTCCCAACCAAAAATATATATGCCTGGTGCTTCAAAGGGGCTAATTTCCCAATGCTCAAGAAAATTGAGTGAAATT